AAGTCTCTTTCAAAACAGTCACCAGAGACTAAACCTCCACAATTTTACAAAGTCAGTCTCAGTCAGTGGTTACTACAGTGATTGTAATCAATGTTGTGATTGGTGAATTTAGTGGAGAGGACTTAAAATGATTGGCTCAAGTAACTGTCCGATCACAGGTGTCCGATTACAGTCAACTGTCCGATTACACTGTCCGATTACAACTTTGCAGATTAATTAGAGCAAAATACAGCCGTTTATGCACCAATCACATTTGAGGAAATTGTAATTGTTATGATTAACCCTGAAATCAACAGCGCATTCTGTGTTTCTCTCGGTGTTCCGTCTCGCCATTTGTAATAGCTGAGTTCCCAGAACAATTGTATAAACGCTAGCGCAGATAATCTCGGCATAAGCCATCGCTCTTTTTCAAAATCAGCTACATCTCTTCTCAAGTTAGTAAAAGTCTGCATACGAGCCAAGTGGCCCATCAGGCCGGAGCTTATCTCGGTTTCCGCAGCACGAAACGACTAGAAGTATTTCTACTCCCCCTGGATGGGACGCTAGTCCATCACAAGGTTATCCCCAGCATTAATTTCGCCGGTACCCATTTATACACCTGGGTGGAGAGAGGCACTGTGAGTAAAGCGTCTTGCCCAAGAACACAACACGATGTCCCTAGCCAGGGCTCGAAATCGGACCGCTCGATCCGTAGACGAGCGCACTAACCATTCTCTATTTCCAATTGCCCATAATTCACTCTGTTTGCCCCCTAAAATTTGCATAAACTATGGTTGTCAAATACTCTTGGGAGGTCTACATATTCCCAAGAGCATTTCACAACAATAGTTTATGCAAAATTTGGGGTGCAAACAGAGTGAATTATGGGCAATTGGAAAATAGAGAATGAGGCCACCGCGCTTCCCACTCACACTTCTCGCGTTAGGAATCCAAAAACGATGGCACACACCTCTAAGATGAACACTCCTTGCTTGAAATGATGCCACTCCATAGTTGATGTGGAATACAGATGACTCAGCGGCGACTTGTTCTTGATCATAAACGCGTTGTTGTAGCCACGATGATCGATATCGTGAATAATGCCCGAAAGGTACAGCGCAATTTTCTGACAACAGGAAAACAGAAACGCGTTGTAACTAAGCTTGAGTTTTCCAACTAAGTGTCCTAGGTTGGCCAGTTTTGCTTGGCTCTATAGTACGTTCTCTGATTGGCAATAGGATGCAAACTACCAACCACGACTCGTGCATTTTCCCGCACTTGGCGAAACCTAATAAGCCATTTCTGAGTTGCTGTTACCTCCGTTTCAAAACGAGTCTTGGTGTACAACCTTTCATATTGAAATGAGTTTTTCTTACACGTTCATTGTCTTGCATATCAAACATATTTCCATATGAAAGGTTGTGCACCAGGACTCGTTTTGAAAAAGATGTAATAAGCAACTAGGTAATTACGGCTTATTGAATTGTATATTTTAAAAAGTAATAATAACACTGTAATACTAGTATTAAAATAATAATAATGGTAACACTGTATAGTATTTCCAATGATGGGATGAGGGGAATATTCAACAAGAAGTTTCCTTATCAAACAAGTACACAAATAAAGAAACAAAACCTACAAACAAATACAAGGTTAAGGGCACATGTACCTCTTCCCAAGTAAAGATGTCCGACGCCATTTTCATGATCACACATATGCTGTGTGCCACAGCGAACGCATGCCCCCAGTTATGATATGACACAGGACGGTAACCCTTTCGCACAGACAAGGTGAAGCGAGTAAGAGTGTCCATATCAAGTCTAGGAAGAAAGAAATATCAACGATGCATTAGCTCGAGACAGTTAGGATGATGTCCGGTTTAAAAACAAACGCCAACAAACATCTTTCAACCAGTCATATGCAAGCTTTTGAAGTTTCGTCGTCTTATTTGGCTCGTCTAAAAATAACTATGAACGAAGTGATGTCACGATATACTGACATCTGCTTTAACTGTTTACACAATTAATTAATCCCTTCAAACAAGGAAAGTTGAATGATAAGAAAGTTGTTTTCAAGGCATTCCCACCCATGATATTTTTAATCATGCTAACTGAACAGGTTTTTCTGCGGATAACGTTACCACACGCGTGGAGTATATGGTTTAGTGGAGGATGAGAATTGGGGCTGACCACGTGAGCAAAATCTGCGTTTCAGGATTGGCTATTTCTAAACTCTCTGGGATTTGCGAAACCAGCAGTGATCTAAAAATAACTCAAGAAGCATTAGCTTAGGAATGAGGTCCATAGGGGGATCAACTCCCTCACCCTTTATCCTCTCTTGCCTCATGTTGAAGCCTCAAACGAACGTTTGTCTGCTCGTTATGTCTTCCTTTAAAGCATTTTTTACTTGCTTTGGGTCTCGAAAACAGTGACTTCAAACTCTGTACGAAATCGCTAAAGAAGTACCACACAACTCGAAATTCTGTCGCAGCCCAATTGAATCACTTCTTGAGCATTTTGGAGATATAGTTTTTGCAACAATCTTCCATCAAGAAAGGAATGCACTTCAAATATTTCACGCAAAATGCGCTTTCCAAATTGCAGATTTTGAGATGTCAGAGAAGAGACTTTTCCAGCAGTCACTAGCAACACTCTTGCCCTGGCTGTCGAACTACAATTCATTACTCACCTAATG